GGAAGGCCGTCGAGCTGGTTGGTTTGTTGCAGTCCGGGACTGCTGGGGTTGACAACTCCCCGAGCCATGGGAGCTCAGGCGAGTTGATGACGGCAGTGGCGAGCTCAAAATGCTCGTGGTCGCACGTGAAGGCATGCGAGAAGGTGCTACCCATAGTGATGATGTCGTTTGGTCCCGGCATCTTCAACTTCAGGTAGGTGTAGTTGGGGACCGCCATGAACTTGGCATAGCATGGACGCCCCAAGATGGCGTGGTAAGACCCCGGGAAGTCCACCACCTCGAAGGTAAGCACCTCCAAGCGGAAGTTGGCTCGACTGCCAAACATGATGAGTAGATCGATCTGCCTCAGTGGGTATGCCTGTGCTCCCGGGATCACACCGTGGAAGGGAGAGCTTGTAGGGCGGAGCTCCGACCGAGGGATGCGCATGGTGTCAAGGGTGTCGACATAGAGGATGTTGAGGCCGCTGCCTCCGTCCATCAGCACCTTGGTGAGGCGCTTCTTGCGGACGATGGGGTCGACGGCGAGTGGGTAGTGTCCCATTCTGGCGATGTGGGATGGATGGCCCCTCCGATCGAAAGTGATTTGAGAATCTGACCAGCGGAGGAAGGTGGGAACGGCCGTTTCGGGACGCATGCCTCTCTGTAGCACACCTTGTGCTGGCGCTTGGAGTGGATGGCATCAGATCCCCGAAGATCATGATGCATTCCTTAGGGTTAGGAAAGTCGTTCCCATCCTTGCCCACCGCGCCTCCTTGCTTGGCTGCTGCCTCCTTGCCCTTTCCTTCTTTCGGCCCATCGGCCTATCGTAGGAAGCGCTTGAGGAGCTTGTAGTCCTTGTAGAGGTGCTTAACGGGGTAGGCGTGGTTGGTGCATGGACTATCCATGAGCTTGTTGAAGTGATCGGGCAGGCCTTGCTGGGGCTGCTTGCCCGCGCGATCAGCTGCGGTGACCAATGTGGATTTGGCCGGTCGGCGACGATCCTTCTTATTATTTTTGCCCCTCTGAGTGGAGGGGCCCTCATCTTGGTCCTCGTGCTTGGCCTTGCCTTTGTCTCGGCCACCGTTGAAGACCGCTTCTACCGCCTCCTCTCGGAGGCGTTGTTTGTAGCGATGTCGAGCAGGTCGCAGGTGGTATGGGGTTTCAGGCAGCCAAGCTTGTGGATCAGGGACTCGCAGGTTATCCCAGAGAGGAATGCGCTGATGACGTCTGCGTCAACGACATCAGGGAGGCAGTTGCACCGCTTGGAGAACCTCTGGATGTAATCCTGCAGGGACTCGTTGGCCTCCTACTGGCAGCTCTTGAGGTCCCAGGAGTTCCTCGGGCGGACATAGGTCCCATGGAAATTCCCGACGAAGATCCTCTTGAGGTCCGCCCGATCGCGGATGCTGTCGTGCGGGAGGAATTCGAGCCACGCTCGAACATGTTCCCCCATGTAGATAGGGAGGTACTGAATGATGAAGTGGTCATCATCCACTCCTCTGGCTCGGCAGGCGAGCCAGAAGTCTCTGAGCCAGATACCAGGGTTCGTCTCCCCGGTATATTTGGCGACGTTGGTAGGCGGTCGGAAGCGCTGTGGGAACGGCGCTCTCTGGATGCGCCGGCCAAAGGCCCGTGGTCCTAGGCCATCCGGGCTGGGACTCCGGTCATCTGACCGGCGACCATGCCTAGGGTGCGTTTCACCGGTCCCCTCGATGGTCCGACCGAAGCCCGCACTGCCCGCTCTCACTGCCGCCCGATGGACGTCATCGTCATGCCAGGCCCGACGCCGGTTGCTGATGATGCTGTGAGTGTCTCGGTTCGGCCCGAGCCGTTCACGCACAGGGGGCCCGGGAGTGCGCTATGGCGGATGCTCCAGGACAACCGCCGGTGGTAGCGGAGGGTCCAGAGGGGTTTGTGTCTGTAAAGACTCCGCTACCACCGGTGGTTGTCCTGGAGCATCCGCCATAGCGCACTCCCGGGTCAGACAGTGGCTAGGTGCCACGTCGCCGATGCTGGAGCCGTCGCTTTCATCCTCGTCATCCATGAGTTGGTGGAAAGAGGTGGGTGTGCAGCTCGCCATCCCCACGATTTTGGATGTGAGAGGGGGTGGCGTCAGCATCTTCCGGAGCCCCTAGGCATACGCGTTCACGGAGGACGCGAGGCCGTAGGGGAACCGATCGTACGGTGGTTGCGGTGCGGACAACAGGGTCCCTCCGGATAATCGGCGGAAAGTAGTAAATAGCGAGTAAATAACAGTATGTATGTTACTCATAGCGGGGTTTGAGTAGAGCGTATGCTCAGAACGAAGCACAGGCGCCCCTCCGACGGGCGCCGGAACAAGTGCCTCCTCGCGGAGGTGCAGCACGCCGAGCCGGTCGACGACGAAGTCCAGGCTTCCAAAGAGGAAGGTCTAGGATGGCTCGAAGATGGGTGGAACCCACATCCCAACGGGTGGGAGTGCGGGAAACTCCAGTGAGCCGAAGCGAGTCGTATCGCTTGAGCTCGCCATGGCGAAGATGGCGAAAAAGTGGGCCATCCAATGACCGAAAGAGTGAACGTACGGCGTCTTCCCCACGGACGGCGCCAACTGTCGGTGTAGAAAGTAACCAACACATAAATATTTATAGTTTTGCCATACGTTGTGATCGGATGTGGCCTAGCACTCAATGACACAGGGTTTATACTGGTTCAGGCAACGTGCCCTATGTCCAGTCTGAGTCGGTCGGAGACTTTATTCCTGAGCCTAGGTGCTTAAAGTTTGCTGTGGGGTTACAAACGAAAGGGAGTAAGATGGGGGTGCAAGAGGTCCGGTCGGACTCTGGACCGAAGGACCGAGAGAGACGGGAGCTCCTATGTGTGCTAAGTAATTGAGTGTGTGCTCTGTTGGAATCGTTCGAACCGTAGGTTGTTCGATCCGCTGGTGGTTGAATCGTTGGAGAGTCATCCCCATTGGGAGAGAGTGCATCCCCTTTTATAGATGAAGGGGATGGCTTTACAAGAGAGAGAGAGAGTATGTATGCTACTAAGTCTTGTTGCCCACGTCATCGGGTACAAGGTGATTGTAGGTGCCCACAATACTATTGATGTCAGATACATGTGGGAGGTTTTACCGTGTTCACCATGTGCGGTAAATGACGGTGCCTACAACACTGTGGATGCCTAGAGGCATGTGGGGGGTTTCACCGTGTTCGCCTGGTATGCGAATTGATGGCGCCCACAACACTGTAGAGCAAATGTCAGCGCCCACAACACTGCTTGGGTTCTGGCATGCCTGGAAGGTTGTAGGGCACCCTTCTGACATGCCCTGTCGGTACTGTTCTACAGGTGCACAGGGTACGGTCCTTGGTATTGCGGTTGACTTGAGCGGCCTGCCTTACTTGCTCCGCCCGCCATTTCCTGGGTCCTCACCGAGCGGGCGTCCCTGGTCGGTTGGTCCCAGTCGGCTCCGACTGCACCAGTCGGAGAAGAGCTGTAGGTAGTGGTCCGGTGCATCCCCGATCGGAGACGCAGGTCAGAGTCGGAAGCGAGCGCCGTTCCTCCTTAGCCAGGCCTTCCGGTCGGAGAGGTGGGCCGGAGTCGGAAGCGAGCGTTATCTTTTCCTAGGCCAGGCCTTCCGGTCGGAGAGGTGGGCCGGAGTCGGAAGTGAGCGTCGTTCTTCCTCGGCTAGGCCTTCCGGTCGGAGAGGCGGGCCGGAGTTGGAGGCGAGGCTTTCCGGTCGGAGAGGCGGGCTGGAGTGGGAGGCGAGCGCTGTTCCTCTTTGGCCAGGCCTTCCGGTCGGAGAGGCGGGCCGGAGTCGAAAGCGGGCGCCGTTCCTTCTTGGCCAGGCCTTCTGGTCGGAGACTGGATCGCTCTTCTGGCCTGTCGTTTAGGTATTTTGGGCCGGCCCAGGAGTTGCGCGTCGTTCGCAACGTCGTTTGCTGGGGCGAGCTTTTGCTGGGAAGCAGACCCCGGGTTTATGAACCCGACACAACTCAAACCACACTCACAAGAATCTCAAATCCAAAGAAAAGTGAGTAGAGAAGTTGAGAAAGTGAGAGAAGTGGCTATTGTCACGTGGTTGGTAAGAGAGTAATGAGCAGAGAAAGGAGAGGGGTATAAATATCCTCACTCTCTCACCTAGTCATTATTGCTGCTGGTGAGACAATAAGTAAAAATTCCAGTTCACATCGAAATTTTCGACGTTGAGAAGATTAGCACATAGGAACAACACACACTACACATGAAAAGCGACAGTTATAGAAAATTCTGGTCTACATAGGATTTTTCGTTTAGGAAGAATCAATTCAACCTCAACTCTTAGTTCGGAAATTCGGTCAGAATTTCTAGCCCTTAAGCAATTAGTACTTAGGGGTGTGGCTCGAAGTAAATCCTATGGTGTCTATAATTTTATTAGACTTCTTTGAGTGCATGGACACCTGCAAATCACTTAGTAATGGTCTTCTTAATTGTACGACATTCCTAAAGTCCATAGAAGATGAAATGAATGATAAAAATATCAAACTTTTATTCTTGTCAATCGTTGCCGGCCGTAGCGTTCATCCCTGGAAGATTTTTTTTTATAAGACGAATAATTATTTGAAATACTTTATTAATCTTGTTAGTTCTTTATTTGCATTATGATTAATTCACGAAAACCTATGATAGGGTTAGATGCATTTTCAGCACTACCGTGGTTTAGATGACTTGTTCCAATAGAATAGATTCTGAAATTTATGTGTAATATGTTCTTTCAAAAGCAGATGTCGATGCCATAATTCTTGGCTTGACCAGTTTCTGTGATTATTTTTCTTTGACAACTTGAAAAAAAAAGAACTTTTGTGCCATCCCTTTCCCTGCTTGGAGGAATGTGCTCGACACACCGGGTTCCACTCATTATGTCTTTGTTTACTGCAAACGTTGCAAGCACTATCAAGGGCAACGAATGAGCCCTTCAAACATCCTGCAATCCCAGGGGACAAGCTGTGAATCTTGCGGATTCGCAGGAGAGAAAGAGCACAGCACCTAGGAAGAAGCTGGGATCAATGGAGATGGCAGGCGCCGCAGGAACGGAAGCATGGTTGCCGTACGTCACCGCGGTGGCGTCCTGCGCCGTCGGCGTCTTCTTCCTGCTCTACTTCTACGCGCCACACTGGGCGGTCAGGGGCGTGCCGGGGCCGCCGGCGTTGCCCGTCGTGGGGCACCTCCCGCTGCTCGCCCGCCACGGGCCTGACGTCTTCGGCCTCCTCGCAAAGGAATATGGCCTGATCTTCAGGTGGTAAAAGGCCACAACGATTCGATCGTGTGCTTGATTTTGCAGAATCGAGTGCTCTTTTTCAGCACTTCTCCTAGATTTCAGTTTGTTTTCATCTGTTTGGAAGTAGCATTCGTGTGCGAATGTGGTTTAGCCATGGCTGCAGGTTCCATTTGGGGAGGCAGCCTCTGGTGATCGTCGCTGACCCGGAGCTCTGCAGGGAGGTTGGCGTCAGGCAGTTCAAGCTCATCCCCAACAGGAGCTTGCCGGCGCCGATCGCCGGCTCCCCTCTCCACCAGAAGGGACTCTTCTTCACCAGGTGACTGTTAGTTCGTCTCTCCACCGTGACGCATTTGGAGCCACGAGCAAGTGCGCCACATCTGTATCATCAAATCAATCAATACCATTGCGATCTCATCAGGGACGAACGGTGGTCGGCGATGAGGAACACGATCATCTCGCTGTACCAGCCATCGCACCTCGCCGGCCTCGTCCCCACCATGCAGCAGTTCATCGAGCGCGCCGCGGACGCAATACTGGCGGTGGGGGTTCAGGAGAACGGCGACGTCGACTTCTCCGACCTCTCGCTCAAGCTGGCCACGGACATCATCGGGCAGGCGGCGTTCGGCGTGGATTTCGGCCTCACGGCGAGCGGTCCCGGCGGCGAGGCCGCGGAGTTCATCAGGGAGCACGTCCACTCCACGACCTCCCTGAAGATGGACCTGTCCGCGCCGCTCTCCGTCGCGCTCGGCCTCATGGCGCCCGCGCTGCAGGGCCCGGTACGGCGGCTGCTGAGCCGTGTCCCGGGGACGGCCGACTGGAGGGTCGCGCGGACCAACTCGCGGCTCCGCGCGCGGGTGGACGAGATCGTGGCGGCGCGGGAGCGCGGGCGCGACGGCCACCACGGCGAAGGGAGGAAGGACTTCCTGTCAGCGGTGCTCGACTCCCGGGACCGCAGCGCGGCGCTGCGGGAGCTGCTCACGCCGGACCACGTCAGCGCGCTCACCTACGAGCACCTCCTCGCCGGGTCGGCCACCACGGCGTTCACGCTCTCATCCGCAGTGTACCTCGTCGCCGGCCACCCGGAGGTCGAGGCCAGGCTGCTGGCGGAGGTCGACGGCTTCGGGCCGCGCGGCGCCGTGCCGACCGCCGACGACCTGCAGTACCGGTTCCCCTACCTTGATCAGGCATGTGACATGACAACACAGCGTCACGTGTAGGAGTAGGACGACGGGCGCGAACTTAAGCTTCCATTTGCATCTTTGCAGGTCATAAAGGAGGCCATGAGATTCTACACAGTGTCGCCACTGATCGCCAGGGTGACGTCTCGACAAACCGAGCTTGGAGGCCACACGCTCCCAAAGGTACAGACGGACACATCTCACCACCAGGCGTTGGGCATTGGCATTGGCATGGTGTTCGTCCTGTTCACGCATGGTTCACCGCGGCCAGGGCACGTGGCTGTGGATGGCGCCGGGCGTGCTGTCCCGCGACGCCGCCAACTTCCCGGACCCCGGCGCGTTCCGGCCGGAGCGGTTCGACCCGGCGAGCGAGGAGCAGCGCGGGCGGCACCCATGCGCGCACATCCCCTTCGGCATCGGCCCGCGGGCGTGCGTGGGGCAGCGGTTCGCGCTGCAGGAGGTGAAGCTGTCCATGGTGCACCTGTACCGGCGTTTCCTCTTCCGGCGGTCGCCACGGATGGAGTCGCCGCCGGAGCTCCAGTTCGGGATCGTGCTCAACTTCAAGAACGGCGTCAAACTCGTCGCAGTCGAGCGGTGCGCTGCCATGCCGTAGTATCGTGTACGGACGGATGCCAAGGGATGGCCGCACTGCCTTGAGGGTGTAGTAGTGGTCACTTGGACAACTTGTTTCGTGGAAACTCTGGTGTAAACAGTGTTCCAGTGCTTCTCTGCAGCTACTGAAGACACGCCTAGGCGCCTAGCCATCTTGGATCTCGAGAAGAAGCATAATAAAATGTGACTGCAATATCGCTGGCCGTCCATACAAAATATCGCTCTAAGTTCAAGCCGTGCTCAAAACTTCTTAGGCCAGAGTTTGGCAGCCGGAAAACGAAACGTCCACGTTCCCACGTTACAAAATATCGCTCTAAGTTCCCGTTTCTATTCCACATTTTCGTTTCCTTCCAGGAACATGACTGATAAGGGCCTGAGGTTTCCATCACAGCAAGAGAGTGACAATGAGCAAGCTTAACACCAGAAGCATTTCATCGAACAACTCGTATGCATAAAGGAAACAAGTAAAGCAAGCTAACAAGTCACAGGCATTCCGCCGAACATATCATGCGCATGGCAGAAACAAGAGACAATGTACCAGGCATTTCACCGAACGCCTCGGCTGCACGAAGAGAACAAGGGGAAAGAAGCTGACATGCAACAAGCATTTGGGCAAATACGCACGAACCAAACAGACGTACTTTGGCTCGATTTTCTTACTCATCGTTCATCAATTCGTTCAACGATTAACAAAGACGGTAGCAGCGCATCCCAAATCACTAAGATAACTATATACTTAACCCGATACTGAGAACCAGAAAACCCTAGACTGAAAGATCATGAACCCCCAAGATTAATTCTCAACTAGCATCCCGATCGATCTCACCCGCCTTGACAAGACCCTCCCTTTCAACGACCAAACAGCAGGATCGCCAACCCGGCGCCCATGACCCACCCTTCCAGAGCAGCCAAGGAGTAGTCAGCCCACAAGGGGATCAACAGGCGGCGGCGGGCGGGCCACTCCTCCTCCTCCACCGTGGCGCGCAGGCGGTCGCGCTCGCGTATGATGCGCCTCTCCTCCGCCAGCATCTAGGCGCGCACCTCCCGCTGGACCAGCGCTGCCCCCCACGCCTTCTCGCTCTCGGCCAGCCAATCCCTCTCGGTCTCCTGGTGGCGGCCTTGGTGGTGGTGGTGGCGACGCCGCGGCGGCTGCTGATGCCCAACGCGCGCCGAGTGGCCGAGCGCAGCGCGGACTACATCTTGTTGCTCGCTCTCTCTCCTCTCTTTCTCGCTCGCTCGCGTGGGTGTGGTGTCTCTCTCTGGTCGAAATGCTTTTTCGGTTGCTCGCTTGCAGTTCCAGGACTAGCAACGGGGTAGATAAAGGAATCCCGGTGGGAGGAGCCGTGCACTGCACGTTTGCTCGACGTTCCATTAGAGCGATTGGTTCCGTCAATCTGTCATGGACCGCTCAGATGCGCCGGCAGAGTTCGGCCCCTGCTGCAAAGCATAAACTTTTTTTTTTGGTTCTCTCTGAGAGGGGCAAAATCACAATACTGGAATGTCTACGGGCTAGTTTCGATAATAAACACTTAGACTTTATTTGGTAGGACAGGGGAAGATAAACCTTGTTCCCCGCTGCTGTTTGAGAGCATTTGAATCCAGGGAAGATCTCACACACGTGAACCAAAAGAGATGAATAGAAGGCTGACAATGCATCCACAGGACTAGAAACATGCACATAAAAGCATGCCAAAATCAAGAAAAAAACGAAAAATTTAAAGATCGTAAGAAAGATTAATTTTTTTTGTTACATACATACATATAAATAAATAAATAGTTAAAAACTCAGTACTCCATACAATACTTTGCTCTGAACATTTGTCTCAACATGGCATTCTTCAATTTTCTTCTGAACAAATGATGTTGTTGTATTACTCCCGAAGCCACAAGAACTCCAGGAGAGCACAGGACAAACTGAAAAATTGCTTAAGGAGACACATCACACGTCATCATAGTATGTAATTACTAACTAGCAATGTTTATCAAAGTAAATGAACTACGAATACAATGTTGACCCAGCACAGTCCTCCGTTTCCTTTTGGGTGTTGCCTGACTTGACCTCTAGTTTCCCTGCATAACCATAATAGCATAGCTCGATGCTTAGGCAGTAGTTAGGCTACACATGCTGTAAGAGACCGTGACGTCTAAGAGAGGAGGGAGGTAAATTAGGCAACTTAAAAATCTACTCTAAACTATGGCCTCTTTTTCTATCATTAGCAAAAACCTATGCAAAAGATAAACTATAAAAAATGTGCAACTACGGTTTTGCTAGTGTATTGCTATCTCTACCATAAAAATGAGTTATGCAACCTAGGTTCCAAACCTATCAACTAGTCTATCACTAAGCTAGGAAAGTAAAGCACAAACCAAGATTGCAATGTAAATGCGGAAGCTAAAGAGTAAGGTACAGATATATAAACTCCCGTCGACGACTCTGGTATTTTTACCGAGGTATCGAGAAGCGTGTAAGCTTTTCCCTAGTCCTCATTGGAGCCCATCGCAAGGAATCCCTCACAAGGGCCAAGCTCCCTGCTGGGTAACTCCGTGGATAGCCCCGGGCCTTCCCCACGCGCAAGTGGGTCTCCGGTGTGTCTTCCGATAAGCCTCTCTCGGATCGCTCCCCGCCGTCTTCACTATCAAGCTTTCGGCCGAAACACCGCGGACCTTGTTTCCTCCGGTACACGGTGGCGGCCACACCACAAACGCTGTTGGTGTGATCTCACAAAACTACAAGCCCCTCCGATGTACAACAATGGTGCACGCAAGCATCGAGTGATAAAAGGTATGCAAATCTCACTAAACACTAGGCCTAAACCTAGAGCAAGCGCATAAGCGGTGGTCTAATCAACCTAAGCACTTCGTAAAGCACCTACGCTAATCACCTTATGAATCACTAAGCACTATGCAAGTGGAGATCACTAAAATGGTGTATCAACATCCTTGGTATGTTTCCTCAGCTCTCCACTTCGAAAATGGCCGGTGAGGGGGTCTATTTATAAGTCCCACCGAGAAAGTGGCCGTTGGGGGCGAAACCTAGCTTTTTGCTACTGACCGGACGCTGTTGTCGTCCTGACCGGACGCGTCCGGTCGTCCCGATCGTTGGAGCGCGCGCGTTGATCGGACGCATTGCCGAGTCTGGTCACTGTTGATAGGACGTGTCCAGTCGTGCTGTCACCGCTCTGGAACCTCTCTGGACTCAATTGGACGCTGCAGTTCCTGTGTTCGGTCGATTATCCGCCAGCGTCCGGTTAGTGTTGAATGTGTTGCCGAGATGATGAATAGTGCCATCGTCGCATCCGGTCACTTTTAGTCCTCAACATCCGGTTGCTGCTACTGATGCCTGTTGTTGCCGAGCATCTTGATTGGATACGTCCGGTCGCTATAAGGGCCGCGTCCAGTCACCTCTGTGAAGCTCGTTTCTTCGCGATCTTGCGTCCGGCTTGGTTCCTATCTTCGTGCTTGGACTTTGCTTGATATCTTGGATCCTCTCTTGTGCTTCTAGGGTCTTGCTTTGTTCGTGGGATCATCATGTCGCATTCGTCCAAGTCATGTCTTGCACCCTATTGAACTACAAAATAATTATTTGTATATTCATTAGTCCAATTTGGTTGTGTTGGTCATCAAATACCAAAATCCAAAGTAAATAGGACTAGGGTCTATTTTACTTACAATCTCCTCCTTTTTGTGATTGATGACAACACGACCAAAACAAGCAAATAATAAAATTTTAGAATTTAAAAACTACTTACTTGCTAGGATGCAATGCAAAGGGCAAGGTTATATGATGCTAAAAGATACCACATGTAAGCACATGTAAACTAAAGATACCACAAGTAAGCTAATGCATATCACATGTAAACATCTTTGGAAACTTATCTTGTCGTTGCAAATATTCCCATGTGGCATTATGGATTTAAGTCTCCACCTAACTCCATAATCCACTATCATCCCTTTCTAGGACCATTACCACTTATAAATTATTACCACTATCACTTGTAAATTATTATAATCGAGCTTGCTTTTGGTCCTACAAATTCTCCCTCTTTGGAATCAAACACCGAAAAGGAAGACATTAGTAGCACAAGGAAAGATCAAACTTTGTGATCCTTTGTATGTGGAGTGGAATAGGTCACAAAATTTAACTATCATATTACATAGACCAAGCTCCCCCTAAATATATGCATACATTATGATGGAGAATGAAGTTTATGCATAATTGATAAATTAATGCTCAAGAGAGTTTAATCTATATAATGCATGGAGAAAACATATAAATACCAAAGTGAAATCAACATGATGAAATCGGTTTAAAAATACCACATATGGAAACCAATTTGATTTATACCACTTGCAATAGGTGGTGGATATTTGAAGTGTGATGCTTAACTCTGGGGACTATATTTTCCTTGCAATGAGACTACTACACACATGATAAGCTTGAAAAGGTGTTAGTCTCAAAGCATCCAACTTGTAGAGTAACATCCCCTTAAATTTGTGCACACAAGTATAAAATACTTGTAGGAGACATGCATATTGATTTTAGAATAAAAATACCACTTGAAAGATGACAACACATAAATGTGAGAATCATTTTTGAAAGTGATATTTAGGAGAAATTATCTATAATTTGGACTTTGGCACATATTAGATGAACAATTGTAAAACAATCTATGTATTGTGCTCCTAAATAATTTAAACCATGTAGGTTTGCTCCAAGGGTTAAGATTGAAACCGAGCAAGCCTACCATAAGATATACCTAGTGTATGAAAGATAAAAGATTAAACATGTAAATGCAAACCTAGGCATGAAAAGAAACTAGATGCTAATTGAGATTGCAAGAAATTAAATCTAGTTACCTAACATGAGAAGGGGATTTTGGGTCCATAGTATTCACTAACCCATTTGGCAATATTCTTATCCATAATGATGCACCCCATGAAATACACCCATACTTTGCCAAGTCTCTAAATTCCCCGAAGTCCATCGAACTTCTAACTTCT